TCTTTGTTCCGGGCACAGCCCCCTCCCGTGCTGTTGCCATGGCAGTGCCGCCATCTTTGTGCCGGGCACAGCCGCGTTGCCACGGCGACGCGGCCTGAGGGGAGCGAACGCCGCTTTATTTATTTTATTGATAGTTTGTTTATTTATTTAATCGCGTTTTCTTTTTCTTCCCCGTTTCCCGAGAAACGGGTCGGGCTCCGCGGCCTGCGGGTGCCGCTGTCGCTCCACACACCCCGGGAAGTTTTGCCCTCAGGGCGCTTTGGGTTGGGGGGGCTTGGTTCGAACCGGGCTGTTTGCTCATTCTCCCCGTCCAAAATCACCGCTCTGAGCACCGGGATATTCCCCCAAAATCCATCCAAGATGGGACTGAGTTTAAGGTCCCTTCCAGCCCCAAGGGAGAGGCAGATCCAGAGGCAGGCAGGATCCAGCTCCACGGGAGATGCGGCTGCAGGCGGAGCAGGTGGGCTCGGGGGTGAGGCTGTTGGTGCTGGAAATTGAGGTGGAAGAGAAAGAATCCCGGGTGTTTTGGCGTGATTTGGTTTATTTGTGTGGGCGGTGTTGGTGCTGCTGGGCTGCACAGCTGCTCAGAGCCGAACTTTTTGTTTATAGGAGTTGATAAACTCTGCTCCCAGGGGCAGGATGAGAGGAAACTGCCTCAAACGGCGCCAGGGCAGGGGCAGGTTGGACATCTGGAGGAATTTCTTCATGGAAAGGGCTGCCAGGCGCCGGAGGTGCCCAGGGCAGTGGGGGAGTCCCCATCCCTGGATTAAGGATTTAAAGCTGTGTGGATGTGGCACTTGGGGACAGGGGCAGTGCTGGCCTGGGCAGCAGGTGAGGTGACTTTGGTGCCAAGGTTGGACTTGGAGGTCTTTGAGGGGTTTTCCAACCTGAACAATCACTGGCAGGGAGGTGTCCAAGCCTGGCTCATATCCCGCTGCTCCAACACACACAAACAACCAGAAACTGTAGGAAAACTCTTTTATTTCCCTCCTGTGACACAGACCGTGGCAGTCAGGAACTTTTGCTGCAGGAGGCTCAGTCCCACACCGGGACTCTGAGGAATGATTGCCAGGGAGAAAAACAGGGCTGGGAGCAGGGACACGGCCTCAGCACGTCCTGGTGACCACGGAGCCACTGACAGGCCCAGCTACAGACACGGGGGATGGACAGTGCTGCTCTGGATCTCTGCAGGGAACAGAGACCTCCCTTCACCTCCCTTGCCCTGCAGAAGTCACCTGGCAGAGTGGCAGCAGCCTCCGTGGTCCCTCCTGGCTCGTGCATGGTGCCACCAACCCCCTGGCACACGGGGAGGGCGAGGGGGAGCCAAGGGTGCCCTGAGGGGCTGTGAGCAGGAAACCCCCCGGGCACACCCAGTATATACAATTTACATGTATTTACAATCAGTAACCATCCCATCCCTCCTCCCAGACACGGCGTGGGGTGGGATGGAGAGATGGAATCCATGGAGAGATGGAATCCATGGAGGGATCCATCGATGGAGGGATGGATAGAGGGAGTGGCCAGGCTTTGCATCCCTCAGCATCTCTCCTGGTCGGGACACAGCTGAAGGAGTGTTGGAATTTTAAGTTTTGAGTTTTAGAAATATTAAATGTTTGTGTAAGAGGAGGATCCTCCCAGTCTGACTCTCCTGTCCTGGCTTTTCACAGTCCAGGTCCTGGAGGAAGCAGGGAGTGGAGCTGGAATCCCTCAGGATGGCCAGGTGCCAGCTGGGTGCCAGAGGCTGGCAGGGAAGGGCAGGGGTGCCCTGGGCTGGGCAGCAGCAGTGTGATCCAGGCTCAGCAGCAGGAAGGCAGCTTTGGGGTCTGCTGTGTCCTTTGCTGGTGCCTCGCTGGTGATTCCCCCTTGGAGCAGCGGCAGGGAGGGGACGGAGACTCTCCCTGAGCAGTCTGGAATCTGAGGCTGGATCGGAGCGTGGGAGCTCTCCTGTCCTGGGGAGGGGCTGGATGGGGAGCTGGGCAGTTCTGGGAGCCCTCAGTGCAGTGTCCCACAAAGACAAGGCTCTTCCCACCGTGGCATCGTGGGGAACCCCCCAGACACACGGCAGTGCAGTTCAGAGATTATTTCAGTCCCAGGCAGCGCTGGAGCTGGCACGAGGAGCTGCAGAGGTGCTCTGGGAAGGCTCCAGGTCCAGCCCCAGCCCCTCCTGCCCACCTGAGCAGGATTTGGCTCTGGAGCACAGCGGGGCACTGGCCAGCAGAGTGCCCAGAGCCAGGCTGGGTCCGAGGGGACACGGGGATGAGGAAGGGGACAGCAGGGATGTCTCCATGCAGGTGGATCCCGTGGGACTGGGGAGCTCTGGAGACACCACTCAGCCTCTCTGGGGAAGCAGTGGTGAGCAGGAAAAGGGGAATTGGTTCCCATGGGCTTTGGGGAGGCCTCCTGGGACTGGCAGGGTTCAGGAGTGACCCACACCCCTGCTCTGGGCATCCTGGGGAGCTTGTGGCACACCCCAATCTGTGCTTCCCAACACCTGGGATTTGGGAAAACGCCCTCCCTGCCTCTCCAGGCAGGAGCTGTCACTGATCCCTGCTGCCCAGGGCCAGGCTGTGTGTGAAGCACTTGCAGGCTCAGTCTCTTGGCTCTGCAGTCACCAGCAGAGATTCCTCATCCTGCCACCAGCAGCCCTGCCAGGCTGTGCAGAGCAGATCCAATCTGAGGTCAAGTTCCCACTAAAATCAAGTGGCTGGGAAGGAAAACTTCGTTACCAGCAGCAGCAGCAGCGGGGCTGATGTTTATTAGTCAGCAATGAACAGCAGAAGGTTTTATTTTGCTGGTTTTACAGCCACTGGTGGGCCGTGGCTGCAGCTCCTTCCTAGCACTCTAAGGCAGCACATTTTGCTTTCCTGCACTTTTTTCTCAGTTGAGCTGTGGAAAAGTGGCCAAGGAGAGCCCTGGCAGCTGCCAGGAGCCACCTGGTGCCCCTGCCCTGCTGCATCCTGCCTCGGTGGCCTTTGGGATGTTGGTGGCTGCGCCCCACGCCCCTCATTGCTCACCTGCAGCCCCCTTATCCCCATCCCAGAAAAGCAGGGACACATTTCAGATCCCACTCTGAGCACCCAGAAGTGTCACTGCCTGGGGGTTTGCCAGGACAAAGCTGCTCTGGGGAGGGAATTCCCAGGATTTCTGTATTTCCACATCAAACCAGTGCAGAGGGAGGTGCTCCTGTGGGGATACATTTGGGAACAGGTGTCCCATCCATCCATCGGGATTTTGGTGACAAGGCTTGCACAGACACAGCTGGGATGGAGTCAGACATCGGCAAACCCGGGTTTGGCCTGGCTGCAGGTGAGTGCTGGGGGCTGCACACATCCCCCTCCCCATCACACGCCCGCTCTCGGTGCTCACACCGCCCCCACGGAGTGCCCACGGCGGCACTGACGCATCACTGCGGCTGTGACACCGAGCCCAGCCCCGCTCCCGGCCCTCCCCGGGCCTTCACCGTGCCCCGAGCTGCTGCTGCTGCAATTCCTGCAGCGTCAGCAGGGATCCACCGTGCCCCGAGCCCGGGGTCAGTGCACTCCCCACCCCGGGCCGCGCTCCCTGCCCAGCGAGGGGACAGGGAGGTGCCACACGGGGACCTGAACGCTGGTGCTGTACCTCGGAGGAGCAGGAAAGAGTTAAAAGCAAACAATTGCTGACACGGCTCTGCTTTGTCTTGCAGTAAATGCAGCATGCAGCAGAGCCAGGAGCAGGTACCCTGGCACCGAGCCCTTTTTGGGAGCTGGCAGGGGTGGCACAGCAGGATGGGATGGCCCAGGCTGGGATCTGCTGCAGGAGCTGGGCAGAGCCATGGGCAAACTTCAGCCAGAGCTGGTGCTGTGGGATGAAGCATCACCTGGCTGAGCAGGTGGCACCCCAAGGCAGGTGGCACCTGGTGCAGCCTCACCTCCCACACTGCTTGTACCGCGGGTGAAGGCTCCGTTCTGCTGGAGATGGTGGCACAGGGCAGGGTGACCGAGCCGCGGCTGTTCTCTCCACCCAAACCCCCCGTTCCCACGGCTCAGCTCTGCAGCAGGGGCCTGTGAACAAATCCGGCCTCTGGCACGGCCGCTGCTCCGGGTGCTCCGGCAGGAAACCGGCCCTTCTCCCTCTCCCCTGGGCTTTCCCTGGAGCTCCCGCTGCACTGGCCAAGGAGGGGCTTCGGGGCGGGGGGGTCAGAGCCCCGGGTTTATGCTGAGCTGGGAGGGCAGCCAGGGACAGGGACAGGGACAGGGACAGGGACAGGGACAGGGACAGGACCGAACGCTTCGGGACAGTCTTGGGAAGGCAAATAGAGCGGATGTGGGGCCAGCCCCGCTGCCCCTCGCACAGTACAGGATCCAGGGGGATGGATCCGCGCTGCCCTGCCCTTCCCCATCCCCGGCTGCTGGGTGCCCCGCTGTCTGCTCTGCTCGGTGCCTTGGGCTCGGACAAGGGTGGGGAGCGAGTCCCCAGCCCCCCCTGCTCGTCCCCATGCTCTCCATCACCCCTGCCTCCGGCGTGACTTGCCTGGAAGGAGCAGGGAGGTGTCAGCCCAGAGATCCTCGGAGCCGTGGCCGGACAAGCCCCGATCTGAGCCGGACACAGGAACCGCTGGCAGCGTGGTGTCCGTGCCAGGCTTCTCCAGCGTGTCACCGCCGCTGAAACGCTTCCAAGGATTTCCCAGCAGGGAGCGGAGCGCTCGTGGTGCCCGGAGCAGCGGCCGCGGCTGCCGGCGCAGCGTGGGACCGGCGGATGCGGGCGGAGGGAGGGGCAGGGGAGGGCAAAGGGGAAAGAAATTCTCCATCCGAGGAGAAAAATCTGCGGCAGGGCCAGGGAAAGGGCTCTGCAGCAGCGGGACACCGCAGGGCTGCAGGAGGCAGGGGCTGCTGCGGGGGCACAGCTGCTTCCCCTGGGGATGTCACCTCCGTGCTGGCGTGTCCCCTCCGGGCAGGGCGGCTGCGGCAGGCACACAGCGCGGGGAGGCGGCAGGGCACGCGGCGGAGCAAGGAATAACCCGGGGAAATCCTAAACATCCTGGTCGCCTCGGGAGGGACACTCGCCGGGAGATCGCACCAGGTCGGTGCGTCCTCGTGTTGTCACACACCTGTGGCCTCGGCTCCTCCTGAGGTCGCCCGGTGTGTTCAGGTGCAGAGCCCTAAAGCCAGCCGGCCCCGAGGGTGGCACGGGGGACCCCGGCCGTACCTGTGCCCACGGTGGCACTTTGGTGTCGCCGTGAGTTGTCTTTGTTTTGCTGGCGAGGCGGCTCCTCCTGACCCGTATCCTTCCCAGCACTCGAAAGCAAACCCAGCAGAGAGGAGCCCAGCAGAGGAGCCCCGAGGCCATCGGTCCCCTCAGGTGGCATTCCTGCCCTGACCCCGTGGTGCCACCCCCTGCTGCAGCCGGGGAGGGGCGCAGGCAGGACAAACCCGCCGTCCCCTCAGATGCTCGTCTGCAGGTCGCCGTTGAGCAGGGTCCTCTGCGTCTCCGTGGTCTCGTTGAGGCGGGATTTGTCCTGCTTGCTGTCGCTGCGGTCGGCCTCGTCCATGCCGCTGACCTTCACCAGGCACAGGACGTTCTGAAAGCTCTTCTTGAAGTTGTCAGACAGGAAGGCGTAGAGGATGGGGTTGGCACAGCTGTTGGCGTAGCTCAGCACCACCACGAAGTCGAACATGCCCTTGAGGACGGGCGTGGGCACGATCATGACGGACACGGAGGAGACGTTGAAGATGTAGAAGGGGAGCCAGCAGAAGATGAAGACGGCGACCACGATGGACACCATCCTGGTGACTTTCTTCTCGGACTTTTTCCTCTTGGAGGAGCCCACCCTGATGCCCGAGGACTTGACTTTGATGATGATGAACAGGTAGCAAAGGCAGATGATGGTGAGAGGCACCAGGAAGCCCAGGATGAAGGCGTAGATGATGAATCCCGTGTACCAGGCGCCCGACTCTCCCGGCCAGATGATGGTGCAGCTACTCCTGCCGTGGTTGTGCTGCACCCCAGCATAAATCATGATGGGCATGATCACCAGTAGGGAGACGCCCCAGACGGCCACGTTGATCATTTTGGCTGTCCTGGGCCGCCTCCACTTGGCAGATTTGATGGGATGGACCACAGCCAGGTACCGGTCAACACTCATAACCGTCAGGCAGAAGATACTGGTGAACTGGTTGATGCCATCCACCGTCATGACAATCCTGCAGAGGGCTTTGCCAAAGGGCCAGTGCACCAGGGCCACCTGCATGGCCAGGAAGGGCAGGCCGAGCATGAAGAGCTCGTCGGCGATGGCCAGGTTGAGGATGTAGATGTTGGTGATGGTTTTCATCTTGGCGTAGCGCAGGATGACGTAGATGACCAGCGTGTTGCCGCACAGCCCGACGATGCACACCACGAAGTAGATGAAGGTGAGGATGGCGTTGCTGGTCAGGTCAAAGTGCTGGCCCGTGGTGTTCTGGGAGGTGTTGGTGGGCGCCTCCAGGGAGAAGTTGTCGAAGGGGGAGGCCGGGGAGAACCAGAAGGCGGTGGCGTTGGGCAGCTCGTACTCCATGGCTCTCCCTGGGCACTGCTGGCTCAGAGGAACGGAGATGTCATCTTCCCTGGCTCTGGGGAGAGAAGAGAAGATTCTAGAAATCAGAGAGTAAATAGAAATGAAGGGATTCCTGGGGAGGATCTGTCCATCCTGCTGCCAAGCTCAGCGGGAGAGAGGCTCCCTGCAGGGGAGGTTCCCAACCCATCTGCCCATCTCCTGGAGCAGCCTGCCCGAGTACGCCACAGCTCCTCCCGGCTCTGGCGATCCCGGAGCCCTTCCAACTCCACAAATCCAGCCGGTGCGTCCCGGTGGGTGCGACTGATGCCCGGGAGCACGGAGCGCCGGGGGAAAGCCTCCTCCTCTCCCGGCCGTTGGGCGGGTGCAGCCCCTTCCCTCCCAGCCGGCACCGGCACGCCGAGCCCGGGGGGCTCCGGTGGGCGACGAACTCTCTGCGGGGATCCCCCCAGCCCCGGCCCCGTCTCTCCTCCGCTGCAGAGGGCACCGGGCGGTGCTGCCCCGCCGCTCACCTGCTCCCGCCGCCGCCCGGCCCCGCCCGGCCCGGCCCGGCGGGCACCGGGGAGGCGCCGGCAGCGCCGCTGCCCCGCTGGGCTCCGCTCGGTTCCGCACCGCACGGCTCCGCACGGCTCCGCGCACCGCTCCCGGCGCGGCTCTGCCGCTGGACCAGCGCACCGGCTGCGCCCCGCCCCGCACGGGGCGGCTCTGCGGGGCCGGGGCGGGGACAGCCCGCAGCGCCCAGCGCTGCCCACCCTGTGCTGCCCACCCTGTCCTACCCACCTTCCCCACACTGCCCACCCTGTGCTGCCCAGCCTGTGCTGCCCACCCCGTCCTGTCCACCCTGCGCTGCCCACCTTCCCCACACTGCCCACCCTGTGCTGCCCAGCCTGTGCTGCCCACCCCGTCCTGTCCACCCTGCGCTGCCCACCTTCCTCACACTGCCCACCCTGCCCTGCCCACCCTGCCCTGCCCTATCAACCTTCCCACACACTGCCCACCCTGTCCTGCCCACGCCGCCTGCGTTCCCTCTCCTGCTGTGCCCACCCTGCCTCCAGCCCTGCCGCCCCACTGTCCCGCGACTTTTTGGTTCTAGCCACGGCCTCAGCTCCTCCAGAGCCACCAGGGAGAGGGAAGTGTGCTGGGACCCCAATGGAGGGTGACCCAAAAGGATTCTGAGAGCCCCAAAGGCACCCTGGAACGCTGGAAATTCCTTGGCCCCAGCAGTTTGCATCTTGCTTCCACTGCCAAGCCAAGGCAGGTTCTTGCTGGTCCTCCCATCTGGGAGAGGTTGGAAGGTGATGCTGAAATATTTGGGGTCTCTGGGGACTTGTGCAGTACAGGTGGCTCTTGCCACAGCCTCTCCCTGGAGGAGGAAGACCAAAAAGGAGAGGTTTGGGGCAGATAACCTCTGCCCTGGTTTGTTTGGGATCTTGAGAGCAATTAAATTATCTCTATTCCTGCCCCTCTTCCCATCACTTGTCCAGGAGACAATAGAGAGCAGGAAATTAAGAGTGACTGTGAACAAAGAGCCCCGCGCTGAGGCTGCCGAGTGCGGCCGGGAGCTCCTCGTTTTCACTTCGCCATCCACTTCCCAAGGCGGATCTAAAGACATCAGGTCCTGGAGCACCGGCAGAGTCGTTATCAGCCTCATTAATCTTTAGGAGGCAGGAAAAAGCTGCTTCTGCTGAAGATGGTGTGGGAATTAATGTCCCGGTAATAGTGGGAGAGGAGGGGGGGTGAAGGGGATGCTCGGCTGCTGTGAGGGGATCGGATCTCCGGGGTGTCCCGTGGAACGGCAGTCCATGGCTGGCTGCACCAGCCCCCGGAGGAGGGAGGAGAGCCCAGGAGAGGCGTTTAGTGCCCTGTGCCCTTTCCAGAGCTGCTTTATCCTCTCCTGGCTGGTTCGTGTGCCCTGCAGCGATGTCCTTCCCCCGGCAGTGGTGGCCGGGAGCATTCCCAGCGCTGCTCCTGAATCTCTCCCCGGAGCAGATGATGCCACCACGTCCCTCCCCGGGGCTCCCTGGTCACCAAGCCATGGCACCGAGACCACCCCAGCCCAGCTGGCAGGGGCCTCTCCCGGCTGGAGAGAGCCCAGGGGGCTGGAGCAGCGGGCAGGGGGAGCACAGGGTGCTTCCAGCTCCTGGGGCTGCCTGGGGAGCAGCAGGGCTCCAGCCCCTCCCTGCCTCTCACTTCCACCTCGCTGGGAAACCGGGGCCAGGGAGCTGGGGGAATCCAGCCAGTTCAGCCTGGCTGAACCCAGATCTGATCTTCATTAAAAACCCCATCAATTTAATGAAATGATGGCCCGGTGGGTACTGAGGAGCTGATGGGAGCTGATCTCCATCCAGGAGGAGGGCAGCAGCAGCTGCCTGAGTCAGGAAGCCATCCTTGAGCCTTTTGAAGGGATTTTTATTTTTCATTCTGCCTAGTTTTGGGGCTGAATTAAAGCCCAGTGCAGAGTCTGCTCTGCATCCCTGGGTGGTCCCTGGTTCGGAGGGACGCTGTACCAGCAGCTGGTTTGGTGCTGGCAGATAAACTCCTCTTTGTCCTTTTGCCTGGGAAGCATCAACAGCGCTGAAAAGCGATTTACTGGCAGGGCTGGAGAGAGGAGGAACACACAGCCCCTTCCCACACAGCGAAATAACCCCTGGGAGAGGGGCACGGGGGTTATGTGACCACAGAGAGGCTTTAAAAACCCTTCCAAGCTTTCTGCCATCCCTTCCCAGCTGTTCCACAAGAGTCCCTGTGGAAAACAGAGCTCTCGACCCCTGTCCTGGAAATGAGTGTTGTAAGGAGCTGGGGCTGGGATGCCAACGGAGGGGTAGGGTGAGCTGGCCTTTCTCCTGGATCCATGGCATGGAGGCAGGAATGGAGGGGGCTGGGCTGGGCTGGGCTGGGAGGGGGTGCAGCTGCTGTCCCCCAGGAGGGGAAGGATTTGCTGTGCAGCCAGCCCCAGCATCCCTGTGGATCTCTTGGAGATGATGATCTCTCTTTGGAGAGCCGGCCCTGAGCAGCTCCGTGGTGCCCCAGCCCCCTCCTCCCCTCTGCCCTCAGAGGGACCCTGCTGTCCCCTGCGGCCGTGGGGACAAGGCCAGCACAGGCAGGGATGACCGTGCTGTTTCTGTCCCAGGGACACTCGGGCTGGCACTGCCCTTTCCCTGCCTTTTCCCATCCCAGCTCCAGCCCAGCAGCCCCAGGTGTCTTCGGTGGCTCTGCTGATTCGTGCCTGGAGGCGGCCTGGCCGCGTTTCAGGGATGCCCGGGCTGGGGGGAGGCTTCGCTCTCTGCTAATTAGCCAGACAAACAGTCTGGGCCATGTCCCCGCACCCCGAGGCGCGGCAGGACCGGCTGGTGGCTGCCAGATCTAATCGGGAGCGTCTGCAGCGCTGATGGATGGCGGGGGAGAGGCGCTGGCGCCGTCACCTGCGCCCGGGGCAGCATCCGGACCTGCCGGGATCCGGGGCAGCATCCAGAACCTCTCAGGATCCGGGGCAGCATCCAGAACCTCTCAGGATCCGGGGCAGCATCCAGAATCTCTCAGCATCCGGGGCAGCATGCGGACCTGGCATCCGGGGCAGTGCTCCACCCCTGGGATCCAGGGCAGCATCCAGAACCTCTCAGGATCCAAGGCAGCATCCATATCCCACGGGATCCAGGGCAGCATCCAGACCTGCTGGGATCCAGAGCAGCATCCACACCCGAGATCTGGGGCAGGGTCCAGAATCTCTCAGGATCTGGGGCTGCATCCACACCTGGGATCCAGGGCAGCATCCAGAACCTCTCAGGATCCAGGGCAGCATCCACACCCGGGATCCGGGGCAGTGTCCCCCGCCGGGATCCAGGGCAGCACCCACACCCCCAGCGCTCTCTGCACCCCGGGGGTCTCCCCTCCACACCCCATCCCGGCTCCTGCTGCTTCCAGACCTCCCCACAGGCGGTTCCTTCCTCCCCCGCCGCCCTGTCCTTCTCGGCCCGCCGTTATTTGCTCCCTAATTGGTTTATTGATCTCCGGAGGGGCAGGCAGGGCTCGGCCGCCGCCTGGCCGGTGAATCACGGCCCGGAGCGCTGACACTAATGAGCCTTTGGCAGGCGCGGCCCCAGATCCCGGCTCCTGTGCCGGCTGTGCCCGGCTCCCGGGAGGGTCCTGGCGTTAAACCGGGCCTGAGCAGGCTGCCTGTGGCAGCCGGGCTTTGTTCCAGCTGGCAATGTCACGGCTGGTGCCAGCACCCGCTGGGACTCCGCGCTGTCCCTGCCCTGCACAGGGACCCTCGTGTCCCTCCCGGCCAGCCCAGGCCGCAGGAGAAGGATGGAAGCGTTCCTTTGTGTCCTGGGACAAATCGGGGACCTCAGCCCGTGGGATGGGACCGTGACCCCGCCTGGCCCGTCCTTGGGGACAGCCCCGCGTGTCCTCACTGCCTGTCTCGCCATCCCGGCTGGCTCCAGGCTGACACAGATGGATTTGGGTTGGGAAAGAGCCCGGCCGTGAGCCCAGCCTGCACGGAGGGGACACTGCAGGGACATGCTGGCCCTTCCCAGGGACACCCTCAGCCGGCAGTGCCTGGTGCCAGCCCTGGGCGGGACATGCCTCTCTGCCCAGACAGTTTTATGGCAAAAAATCCCAAAGGATTTGGTGCTGGCTGCTCCCTGGAGCTGCCCCTTGTAGGGTCTCTTTCCCCCTGATGGGGGATGGCAGAGGATTTGTCCCCTCTGGGTGTTAAAAGTGCATTTTAGGGGCTCTGGGCCTGCTCCTTCCCTGCTGGACTGGCAGGGCTGTGACACTGACACAGGCAGGGCTGTGACACTGAGGGGACAGGCAGGGCTGTGACACTGACACAGGCAGGGCTGTGACACTGACACAGGCAGGAATGTGACACTGAGGGGACAGGCAGGGCTGTGACACTGACACAGGCAGGGCTGTGACATTGGGACAGGCAGGGCTGTGACACTGACACAGGCAGGGCTGTGACACTGAGGGGACAGACAGGGCTGTGACACTGACACAGGCAGGGCTGTGACACTGGGACAGGCAGGGCTGTGACACTGACACAGGCAGGGCTGTGACATTGGGACAGGCAGGGCTGTGACACTGACACAGGCAGGGCTGTGACACTGAGGGGACAGACAGGGCTGTGACACTGACACAGGCAGAGCTGTGACACTGGGACAGGCAGGAATGTGACACTGAGGGGACAGGCAGGGCTGTGACACTGAAGTGTCCCTGCACACAGAAGTGACACTGGGGACCGTGGGTGGCAGTTGGTTTTGCTGATGCTCCTGCACAGAGCCACCACGGCTGTCCCCATTGCCACCCACACGTCCCCAGGCAGGGCCATTGCTGCCAGCCGCCCCCAGCCCGGTGCAGCGTGTCCCCAGGGCCAGCCCTGCCAGGTCACAGCTGTCACAGTGTCACCCAGACCCCAGGGGTGGCGGGGGCAGCTCCGTGTGTCTGTCCCCGTGTCCCTTCCAGCTGGCACCTGGCCCCGCAGCTAATGAAGGATGCAGCAATTACGGGGCCAGATTGATTAAATCCTAAATCAGGGAGCTTTCAAACGGCCCTGACCTTTCCCAGCTGGGGCTGAGCAGAGGCTGTGGCACACAGCTCATGAGATGTGTCCTTCTGCCACCCCTG